TTTGTATCTGCTACTTTTGTTCGTTGTTTTTCAACCTGAAGCATTTAATATATGTAAAATATATTGTTTTAAAAATGGTATGCCATTTCATATTCTCATCTAACAAACAAGTTTCCTTCAACTTGAGGTTCACTAACAAACTCAGCGTACATTTCAAATAAAATTTAAAAAATGTCACTTTTTAAAATAAATTTTTATTTCATGCAATGTTTTATTCTGTGCCGTCTTCAAGTATGCCCAATACTTACGCTTGAGAGGACATGAACTTCGGAAAATACCTTATCTAGCTTAAAACAGCCCATCTTTTCACCGACCATTCCCATTTCAATGAGTTTGTTGTATCCTTCTTCGTTCGTCATGAGTGCGTCAATGTTCTCATAGTAAACCTTCACCTTGGATTTGACTTCGGAGAAGAATTTGTTGTAGTTGTCAAGGACTGCCTTTGCGAACTGAGGGTAAGACCAATGTTCGACAATAGGTTTTAATGTGGTTACTAAGCCACTTTGACTTGAGTGAATTCGTACTTCAAAACAAAAGGAGAAAACCTTTCAACAAAGTTGTCGACCTTCTCATAATGTTTACTCTTCATCTTCTTGAGGTTTCTTAATGGAATATCCCCATGTCGAATTCATAAGCAATTTGAGTGTCATTGCAAGTTTGGGGTTTGAAGCTTTCCTAATATCATACAGTTGTTGTATGACTTTTCCAACTGTATAGTTCCTTCCCGGGAACTCACCATCTTCGTTTGGAATTCCAGTCGGAATATATTGGACAAACCTCATGTATGCAGCGTTAAGGTCGACATAGTATATCTTTTCATCTGAGTCGAACTTGTCGCAACCAATTGGTCCAGTTTGTGGAAATTCAAGTGAGTCTCTTATCTTCTGAGAAACTTCTCCTGTTATCTCATAAACATCGTCGAAGCAACCTGTTTCATATAAAACCTTCTGACCTAACTCAGATGCTCTCCAATACAATTTGACGTCAATTGGATGTTCAATGGAAGTTTGTTTATAGCATCTTGAAGTTCTTGCAACCTCATTGGAAGTTCTTCTGGTTCAGGTTGGTATCCGAACAATCCAACTCCTTGTGGAACTGTGTACTTCTTTTGTACTAGAACTTTGTCTGGAACAACTTTCTGGTCTTGCTAACAATGAAAAGTTTGTTTCGTCTTTTGGTACAAAAGTTTCTGTCAGCTTGTCATCTGGAATTGGTTCCAACAAACCTTTCTCGAAAAGAATGTTTCAGCTCTGACAATGTTGCACTTGCCTTTTCCGAACAATGGGTTTGTAAGACTTTCGTTCAACATGAAGTGGTTGTGGACAATTACAATCTTCAACCATGGTAAATTGAACTCAACAACATAGTCGTCATGTGAAGAACCTTTAGCTGTAGGTATGTTGACTCGGATATTGACATTTGCCAACGGTGCAATTTTTGCCAATTGACCTCTGAGAATGTACCTTGTCTTCACACATGACTCAAGATACTTCATCTTCTCATCTGTAACAAGACCAGAGTTCCTGAGACATGTAAGAATGCAAGGTTCATTGACAATTGTTTCAATTGAATTGTAAATTCCATACCTTGTCAAGTCAATGTCAGACTTATTTATGAACGGGAAGTATCCAGCATGTTGTCTGACTGCTTGAGGGTTAGGTTGGTGCCATTCGAACTTGACACTTGCAATTCCTTCAATTGCATTCAAAATGTCTGAGTCGGAGTCAACCATTTGTTCTCTCTTTGTAGTCTGAAAGCGTCAAGAAGTTTTGCGGCTGTTTGTTCATTGCCATGTGCATAGTAAATGTGACCATCCAAATCTGTTATGGTCAATCTGAGATTGTGTCCTTTCATATTTCCGTCTTGAATTGCAGCAAGTACTCCCATGAAGCCTTCTTTGTTCTTTCCTTCGTCAAAGTTTACTGTAAAGGTTCGACCAGATGTAATTTGACTTCTAACTTCACGATACTTTTCATATGCATATCTTGTTCTTTCCATGGGAGCATGACCATCCTCTGCACTACCTTTTTTCCTTCTCAAAGGATGCAATTGTTCGTCATGTTTCCAGTAGAATCTGGCAAAGCCGTCGTGTCCTTCAACTTGAGGTTCACTAACATCGAAAGGCATGTCCATAAGACGTTCTTCTTCTAACCTCTCTAGTCTGTTTGGATAATTTGCACGTGCTGTTTCCAAATCCATTTCGTAGCGAAGACCAGACAATTTGTCATAGACTTTTATGGGTCTTCCCTTCTATATTTAAAATTCTTCGAAACTCTCCAACCATATCTTTGTAACTCTGCTTTTATTCTAGCAGACTTTCTATCCATTCTATATGGGGCATTTTTATAAAAATAAAAAAATATTTTTTTCTTTACTTTACATAACCGCCTGCTGCCATAAGTCTTTGACGCCAACCCATACCAGCTAATGAAGGTTGACTTGGTTTAGTTTGGAAACTAAACTTTGGTTTTGGTTTATCTTCAGTTTTTGGTTTTTCTTCTTCTATCGGTTTTTCGTCACTTTTCGGTTCCTCTGACTTTACTTCACTTGCAGGAACAGTTTGTGTTGTCAACATCTTCATAAATATCATATGCCATTTGTTTTTGTTTTCCTTTCAACTTTTTGTGTTTGTTGTAAAGTTTAGAATATTTCGACTCTAAGTCAATGAGATGTTCTATAATGAACTGTTGGTCAGTGAAGTAAACTTTTCCATCTGTTGTCTCGAAAGCTCCTTCAGACTTCAATATTTTATTTGTGAGAGTCTGTTTCTTTTTTGAGATACTAGCCGTTCCATTTCTATGAAAAGTGACTTTATAGTTAGGGTTTGCATTTCCAGACCTGGCACTTTCTATTATTGAATTTTTCTCTTTATCTGTAAGTTCTTTGACAGGTTTTGACAATGGTTCTGAACTTTTTGTTTGTGGTGTCAAATCTACCGTTTCAACTTCTTCGGTCATTTCATCTCAGTAAAAAATTTTAGTTTGGTTTGTTTTCAACTGGTTGTTTAGGTTTTTTAAGTCGGTCTAAAACTTCCTGAGGTATAGGAAGAACTTGACAAACACGTGGTGTAACTGCTGGAAGCCGACAAATCCATCTTGAACCCATTTGTCTCAATGCTGTATTGTTCATTTCATCTCAGTAAAAAATTTTACATTCCCCAAGTTTGAGGCGGTTGAGGTTGGTTATTGTTTACCCACTGTTGTGCATGGTTATATCCTCTGTTAAAGAATCTTTCACCTTGGTCCATATAGTGTCCTGCTTGGTATAGTAGTCATTTGCTTTGTTATAATAGTTTCCTGCTTGTCTTCCTACATTGTCCATCCATCCTTGAACTTTTCCTCTTGTTTCAGGATTTGGAATAAGATTTGCTGCATCTCGTGCTACATCCCAACTTTCTGTACAGTTTGTATAATAGGTTGTGCTTTCTCTTTCAGTATACCTAATGTACTCAAAATCTTCCTTCCAATTCCAAATGCACCTCTGGCTATTGTTCCAACTGCGGGTAAAAATCTGATGCAACTCCTGCTAATGCGCAAATAAACCCATTTCTTATGGGTTAAAAATGACGAATCCAAACAAGGACCCCTATGTTTCTAAAGCGACAAAGAAAGCACTCATGATAAAAATCTTTAGTTCAACACAAATGCTTGGTTTATGGATATCTTGGAAATATTCCGAGGTATAGAGAAGATGGACCTCCATACTGGTTAATATTTGTTGGTCAAAACACAAGATACTGTGAAGCCATACCATTATGGTCCAAAAATATTTTAGATGTGAAAACTGCTTTGACAATATTCGTTGACAAATACCATCCAACAAAACTGACATCTGACTGTGAAAGTTCTTTCAAATCAGATGATATTAAAAACTATCTGCGTTCAAAAATGTAACCAATATTCATTGTCGACCAAAACCATTCTGCTCTTGTGTCATTGACGGTTGTATAAAAATGTTAAGAGACTTAAACCAACCACAAGGTGGTGAAGCAAATGAAATGTCATATGACGACAAGTATAGACACTTCTCCATGGCAAAGATGAGACAAGTTTTAAATATTTACAATAACCGTAAACAAAAGGTTTGGGAAACCACTCCCCCGAAGAAATGAAAAACAACCCTGACTTAGAGAAAGACTATATATTTAATAATTTAGTCAAAAGAGACAAACAAGAAAGAATGCCGGGCTTCAAACTTCAGAAAGGTGACAAAGTAAAAATAGAAATACCTAAACGCGACCCATATGAAAATACTATTGACTATGACAACAATGGGAACCCGATAGGTACTCACATTCGTGTTCGTAAAAATAGAAGAAAGTATACAAGAGAATATTATGAAGTTTTAGGCAAACATGGCAAAATGTACACACTGCAAGCAGAAGATAAAACTACTATTGTCAGACCTCGTTTCAAACTTGTCAAAGTTCAAGGTGGTATACTTTCAAAGACAGTTCCTAACAAATATAAGACAACTCCTGACGAATATGCTAAAGAAGTTGAAAATGACGACTAAGCAATTCTATACCATGCGTAAACTGTCATGTAAGGTGGCATATAATCTGCACCCGAGCCTGTTGGATTTGTTGTGAAAGTGTGTGAATGATTTCCTGTGGTTCCACAGAAAATACCTGCGCTTGAATCTACTGGGTCGCTTGAAATATCATATCTATCCATTCCCTGTCTATCCGAACCTGCTGCAAGATTTCTATAACCTCTTTTTGTTATTGAATGTGAATGACTACCTGTTGTGTTTGTAGTTCCCGTATGAGTGTGCGGTGGAAGGTTTGCTTCAGTAATTTTCTTCGAACCTCCTGTTTGCTTTGAAGAGTTAGCACAGTATAAGAATTTGTCGACTATTTGTTCCCATGCACCAACACCAAACATTACTTGAGGACCTCTTGCTTCCATAGATGTATAAATAGAACCTACTGGGTTCATTAAATCAAACATATGAGATATTATAGGATTGTCTCTTTTGAACTTAAAATATAGTGCAACTATTTCAGGTTTCTTCTGGTTTGTGTCAGAATATTTTTTATAATATAATCTTATGTTTTCAGGGTGGGTAAAATCTTGACTATAATATTTATTTCTGTCATCTATATAATAATATACTATTCTCGTTTTTTCTATTGCATTATATCTTTTATATCTATAATAATCTAAATATAATGTTTGCTTTTGTTCATCTGCATGTAGTGCTCCGCCGTCATCTACATAGTCATAATAATATGGTGCTGGAGCTGGGTCAGGCAATGTCATATCTGCCATTTCATAAACTCTTAAATATTTCTTTTGTTCGTCTCCATATAAGTTTAAGTAGCAGTTGTTGTCTAATGGAACTTTAACTTGTGTACCATCATTCTTTATATAGCTTACATACATTTCATTGTTATTTTTCGGAATGAGTTTATACCGTATACCATTTTTTAAGGAGTGTACAAACTCCCATCTAAAATATTTGTTTTCTTCATAGACAGAAAAGTCACCAACAATAGTTTCAATATTGTTTGTTCCTAGCAAACTTTGGTATATTTCATTGACATATGTTTTGTCTGCTTTCTTGTCAAGGCTAACGTTTAAGTCTGTTATTTCAGAAGATGTATGTGTATGTCCAACGTCACTTTTCCTGTTTAAGGTTTCTTGTAAGTTTGTAATATTTGCAATGGTATGTGTATGTCCAACGTCACTTTTCCTGTTTAAGGTTTCTTGTAAGTTTGTTATTTCAGATATAGAATGTATATGAGTCTTTTTAGCATATTCGTTTTCAGCTCTTGTCACTTCACTTGACATTTTATTGTCAACATATGTTTTGTCTGCTAGTTCAGGATGAGTATGTTCTTTTGTTGCATAAGCATTGTTAGCTCTTTCTTCTTCTTTTGCTATTGCATCGTCTACATATTCTTTGTCAGCTTTGTTGTCAATATCTGCTTTCAAAAGAAGTTCATTTATAGGTTTCTCGTTTAAAGTTCCTTTTGTTGGATTTATACAGACAGTATTGTTCTTCTTGTCTTGAAACAGAAACTCATCTGTCATTGGGTTTAATGTCAGTTTTAAGTTTCCTTCTTTCAATGACTCAGATATCTTAGAATAGTTTGAAAAGTTTGTTGTGTTCTTATTTAGAGCTTGCATAATGAGTTGTCGGTTGTGTTGTATTTCTCTCATGGAAGCAATATCTTTCGACATTTTTATTCTAGATAAAATATGCTTCCAATAGAAAAAGAAAATTCTAGAGTTGCTACAACTAAACCATTAGATGAACTTTTTACTAATGTCGGTCAAAAGTTTGAGACAGAGACCGTAAAGCATGAAGGCTATCGTTTTGACTACCCATTAAGATGGTTAAGAGACCCATCCGTCACAAAAGCTATTGGCTTTCGTAGAATGAAGTTTGTGTCTGTAGAAGATAAAAGTTTTCCATTTATTGTAAAGTTTCATATAGATTATATATCTGAAGGGAAACGAAAAATGTGGGAAGAAATTGAGCTAATACAAGTTGACCTTTCATCTTCTCTACAGACTGCGTTAAAAAATATAGAAGATAAAATAAATTCATGTTATGCAAAATATGCTGATGAATATGCAAATACCGAGAGCACACTTTATGTGAGAATTGTATATGACAAACAAAATTCACAAGTGTCATTTCAAATCTACGAAAACAATCCAAATAAAGACGAACAAATATATACAGAATTCACTGCAATGTCATGGTATTATTTGCAAAGAATGTTAAATCAGAAAGTCGAACTTCCTTTAGCAAATATTTACAGTCGATATGCAAGAGATGAACCATATTTATTTAAAGATGTTTTCGACCAAGATGCTATTATTGTTCATGCTTCATTTTCTGGCGCCCAAAACTCTTTCTTATGGAAACAATAAGAATTACCGAAAAAGTGACAAAACATCAAAAACAGGGAGGGGGTCTCAATTTTTATTACTTATATTATTTTACAATATTTATATAAATACTCTTTATAATATATTTTACTATAAAATTATACCTCAAATTCAAATATTTAAAATATTATTTACATAATTATCTCAAAATTATATTTTTATATATTATTTTTCATATGTATAAATCATATAATCTATATCTATGCAAATCTCATCTAAAATTTTTTGAAACAAACCGCTACCATTTTATAATGGTCCATCTTAAATTCATCATAAATTCTGGTACATGTTAGTACCAGAGTCTTCAAATCTCAAACACTCTGGTACCAACATGTACCAGACGCGAGTTTCCAATGCCCTCGTACAATTTTCTATTAAGATCTTCTTGAATGAGAAGGTCTTCATAGAAACTCGTACGAGGGCTTCTCTTTTAAATACTCTGGTACCTGCTGGTATCGGAGTCGACTTTACAGCCCTTTCCCCAATTTTGAAGCTGGGGAAAGTTTTCAAGCAATGAAAGGGAAGCTCTCGCTATGAGGTGAAAATCTAGAATTTTTACCTCATAGCGAGTAATCCTTTGTTAATTGCTTGAAAACTTTCTTCAAATTATCAAATTTCGAGGAAAGTTTCCTTGCTTCAAAGTAGAGATGGAGCCCTTTGAGCCACTGCATATAGGTCAGTGACTCAAAATACTCCATCTCTACTAGAAATCGCCAAAATTTGGGTCGCAATCTTTGAAATGCGACGCAAGTTTGGGCAATTTCGCGAGGACTTGCTCCATTTGGTGCATAGATTCACACTCTATGCATCAGATGGAACAATTCTTTCGCTGACAGCGGGAAACTTTGTCTGAATAGTTTAACATTCAGACAAAGTTTCCCGCTGTCAGAGAGGGAATGGAAGGGTAAGAGGTATATATTCATAATGTATACCTCTTACTCTTCCATTCCCTCAAGAAAGTTCAAAAACTTGGGTGCAATCAGAACTGATTGCACCCAAGTTTTTGAACTTTATATAAGGAATTGTTGGCTATGATGTACTGATCATGAATCAGTACATCATAGCCAACAAGTCCTTCGCAAACAGTGGGAAACTTTGTCTGAATAGTTTAACATTCAGACAAAGTTTCCCGCTGTCAGGGAGGGAATTAGAGGGTGGGAGATATATAGATAGACTATAAATCTCTCACCCTTTAATTCCCTCAAGAAAGTATTAAAAACGATTTACTTCAAACAGGTTTTATTCCTTCAATTAGAATTCGCGAGCCTCGATTGACAGATTATAAAACAAAATTGAAAAGAGAAGTTCAATCACGTTTATACCAAGTATTAAATTTTGTTCAGAATCAAGAAGCCAATTTGAATCCATTAAGATTTTTATTGGAAAATGCTGAAGAAAAACTTTCTCAAATAAATGAGAAGATACAAAATTCAATTACATATTTAAGATCGTTTGAAATTCCAAATGAATTGTTAGATACGTATATGTTAGAAATTAATGAATTTTGTTATAATTCTCCAGATTATATTTTAGAACATTTCGAAGAATTTTTGGAGGATTTCAAAGAAAAGAATAATTTAATAGACTAAAAAATTTATTATTTTTATTTATTGTGAATTTTAAATTGTCACTTTTTAAGTGTTACCCCCTATTGAAAGTGTCACTTTTTGAGTGTCACTTTTTCGGAAATTCTTATATACTCTATTTATTTAAAGATGTTTTCGACCAAGATGCTATTATTGTTCATGCTTCATTTTCTGGCGCCCAAAACTCTTTCTTATGCTTGGCAAATGACTTTTACGAAAAACCTACAAAGTTATACGAACCACCAAGTGGAAGTATTTCAGACTTTCAAGTATGGTTTACTACAGATGGAAGAAAAAGAATAATTCCATTATACCATGCGTTTTACTTAGAACTTAGTTTCATATACAACTACTATCGAACGGTAAAAATATAATTTTTTAATACGGTTGAGGTGTTGGATTTGGTTGCCAACTAGACTGTGGTGCAGGTTCAGGCTGTTGTATAACAGGAGCTTGTTCTTCTGGTTCAGGGTCTTTAGGTATAATACCAACGAACTGACCTACTCTTTTACCAATATTTTTGACTCCGTTCCAAATTCCTCTTCCTACGGTTTTTATTCCATTCCATATACCTCTTCCAACTCTTCTGAAGAAGTTTCCAATACTACTGAAGAAACCCATTTTACTATATGTAAAAATCTAATGTCCGCCTAGTCTCTTACGTTTCCTGTTGAGTTCCATAGCATTCTTTAACTGGAGCTCATACATTCTGTTTCTCCTCTGGTAGAAAACATATTCTGGTCAACTCCTGTGTTCGCGTCATCTGCATAAAGTTGTTTATATCCCACTTCAGGGTTTGTATAAAACTCTTTCCATCTCATATTTGCATACCATGGTGGCAAACCTAACGCAGCGTCATTTGACATGGCAGTTTGCATTTGTACATCTGTTGGCACTTGACCATAGTTTGCCATTGCAGTTTGTATTCTAACTTCATTTGGAATATTCTCTGGGTTTGGTTGTCCAGGTTGCTGTGCATTCGCTAAGTTCTGTGCGTCCATTTAATATTAGATAAAAATATCTCTTACGAGTACATATGCTGAACATTTGCAGGCATTGGTTCATCTTCATATTCTCTGTACTTTTCTACCACGTCAAATAAATAAATGACACAATGGAAAAAACCTAAAACAAGTAGTCCTATTTCAAACCACATTTACTTACTAATAAAATTTCTTTATTGTGACACTTTCTCCAGTTTATAGGACCTCTCTCATATTCTATCTTGTCATATATAAACTCATAGTCATGTATGTCCTCTAACCATCTCATAACGGTTTCCAAACCACTTTTATCGGATGTAAAGTAAAAGCATGGATGGTTATGTAAACGTCTAAAGTTTCTAAAGAGTCTCGCAAAGTCCAGTCTACTTGGTATTGAAAATCCCATGTGTTATAGAACGGCGGGTCCACTATAAAGAAAATATTTTCCTTGTCTTTATATTTTTCATACAACTCTGTCCAACGACATCTCACAAACTCTATACCCTCAATATATTTTTCTATGTCCTCTTTGAAAACATTTGTATAGTTAAGATATAAAACTTTTGACATAAGTGTTTCAATGTCATGAACTCTTATAGAACCACTATATAATAGTCTAGCAGATATACTATCCCAGTCTATATATTCTGCTTTTTTCAAAACCTCTCTCACAATATTTTTGTTATCTAATGGTATACGTTCCATCTTACCTATAGGTATCTTTTCTTTTAACTCTTTCAATATATTGTTTGTGTCTGGTATATGTTTGAGACGGTCCATATAGTTGTCGAAGTCATTGCATATAATCTTTGAGTCTGGGAATATTATATGACATAAATGGGATATATAGAAACTTCCACCGAACAAATCTACAAATGTTAGACCATTCGGTAGTTTCTTAAGTTCTCTCAATATAATATCTTTACATCTACTCTTATTTCCAAAGAACGGTAACGGTGGTTTTGTAAAATTCATTTATATATAATAATAAAAATGTTTTTACCCGAAAAGTGACAGAAAAGTGACAAAACATGAAAACATATATAATTTGTGAAAAGCGACACATTATATAATGTTTTCGACCCAGAAGACTAACAATTTTCCGAATAAAAACTTCATTTATACTAAACATCTTCAGGGCTAGAGGGCGCAACGCGCCTGGAAGCCTTCCGAATAAAAACTTCATTTATACTAAACATCTTCAGGGCTAGAGGGCACGAAGTGCCTGGAAGCCCCACTACCTTTTTTTTTTTTTTTTTCTATCAAATTTTCAGTCGAAACATTTCTCATTTTACATAGACGATACGGACTATATTCCTTTTAATTCTATCGGCGCTTCGCGCCGATAGAATAGACTGAATAAATTAATGATTTGTATTTCACTTTTTAACTTATTTTTTTGATATTTTAGTATGTCTGATTTTTCGAATCCAGTAGGTATGTTGAAATCAGCATCAGAACTCTCTTATGATGATATATTAAAAATTATCTACCCATCTGATGTTCATACTCCTTGGTCAATTGTTCAATCTATTTATATCTGTTATTATCTCCGAAAGGCAACAACAACCAAAGGAATGCAATGGTTCAGAAGTTTCGTTATCGGTTGGTTGCTGCTTTACTTACCTCGCTTAACAATTTCTTCAATTACAAATGTAAATTTCCATGGAGTATATGATTACAACTACTTGATAGCATATTCCATCACATGGCTTGTATTTAATATATTCCCATTTGATTTAGCCTTTCGTTTTTGCAATAGAAAAATAGCCAGAACAGTTCTTTTAGTTTTACAAGGACACTTAGAAGGTCTTAACCTTGCAGTTCAGATTCATACAACAAATGATGCATTTACAAGTGATTCTAACGTCATTTTCTCAAAATCTATAATTGCCGGACTTGTGGTATTAATTATACCATTTATTGTACAAGTAATTGATGCTACATTGTTTGATGAGGAAGGCCGTGATTTTATGACACCAGTTGGGTATCTTAAAAGAATGGCTGTTGTTATTTCATTTTTCACCATCTTCTCTTCAAATACTACATATTGGAGCGAACCTTTATTTGATTACTCATTAATGGCCTTTTGTCTAAGTTTGGTTTGCTCATTATCAAGATTATTCGACTTGCTTTATTACGATTTCCACGGATTCAAATATATCGACTTAATATTACCAAGTCTTGGTGACGGAACTCCTATTAAATTCTCCATTAAGGACATTCTTCGATTGTAATAAAAGAAATTTATTTTAATCATTACTTTTTCCTTTTTTCATAAACATGCATAAATCAATCAAATAAGTATAATGCATCTTCGTTTCTTTTCTTTTAGAGAACAATAAGTTTGAAATTTGTTTTTCAAAGATCTAAATATATTTGAGTGCAAACTTAACTTAATTTTGGATAAAAGAAAGTGTTAATGGATATCACAAGTTGATTTCTATTGATATAGAGATATTTCTTATCTTCACTGCTGAAGATAAATTACTTAAGGCAAAGTGTGCATGGCATATGAATTGTATTTTCTTTTATATGACTTAGGAGTTTAATTTTATTTAAATGAAGTTCTGATTCCATATAAATTTATAGATAATAGAGAATCGAGAATCAGGATTGAAGCCACTTGTTCTAAAGCTTAATGTGGCTATATCAATTTGAATTGGAAACGACAGACATTTTATTGCTAGACAGATTATTCGGAGAATATAAGTTTTAAACGCTTGGATAGGGGTAAAATGAGACGTTGTGAGGTATTTTGTATAAACATTGTATTTGTGATATTATTTCATGAGATCAGTATACGAAGTGAGTATATAAGTGTTTTTGTAACAGGTTTATATGTGGTGATAGCCAAGTAAAGTCTGTAAAAGAGTTCATGACACGATTTTAAGTGATTTAAAACATAAATAATTAAAGTTTTTAAATCGAAAATAAATTAATGATATTTCAAAACAAAATGATTATTTGTAATTATTAATGCAAAATTGTTGTTTTAATTTATTTATAATTTGTCTTTAACACATAAACTTTTCAAATTTATAAAAATAATGGAATTTTACATTTTTTTTATCATAAAACAAATACTATCATAAGAAATTTTTCAACTCCTTGATAAATTACCTTCATACATTTATGTAGAATCTACATGTAGAAGTTTTTTTGGATGTACCTTAAAATATGCAAGTTAATTTTGAGATTTTATTTGTTTAACTGTAATTAATATGTTATTTCTTCATATATATATCTATATATATTTGTCATAAGAACGTATGCATTTTTAATATCTTCATTAATAGTTCAAATTAGCATTGATGAATCTCAATTGTAAGTTCAATACTTTTGATGGAGATATTTTTAAATAAATTTCCACATTGTAAGTCGATATATTAACGCCAAATTAAATAAAAATTCATAGTTTACACTTAAAAATAAATAAAATATAACTTATTCATCCTCTTCTTCAACTACATTTTGTTGTTTCTTTTTCTTTGGTTTTTCATCCGCCGGAGGTTCTTCATCATCTTCATTTTGTTCTTTCTTTTGTGCAGCTTTCTTCTTTGGTTTTTCTTCATTTGAAGCTGGAAGTTCTTCATCATCTTCTTCACCTTTCTTTTGTGATTTCTTCTTTGGTTTCTCTTCTTCTTGTTTTTCCTCTTCTTCATCATTTTGTTGTTGTTTCTTTTGTGGTTTCTTCTTTGGCTTCTCTTCTTCTTGAGGCTGCTGTTGTTGGTCTTCTTCAGGTTGAGCAGCAGCACCACGTTTTCTCGCTTCTTCAAGTCTTGTAACTCTCAACAAAGCGTTTGAAACTCTTTCATCAATGTTCTTTGCTCTTCCTGCAATATTTGTTGGATCTGCACCAATTTCTTGTGCTTTAATTCTATCAGCATCAATTGCTTGTATTGCTCTGACGCACCAATTGATTTGTGCCTCAACAGCTGATAGATATCCAAGAATGTTCTCATCTCCTTCCAATGTATTCCTTACATTAGTTAATAATGAGTAAGTTGACTGCTGTGCCTTCAAGTTCTTTGATGAAGTAACACGTATTTTCTCTCTGAGATCTCTTAGCGATTGTTCCATTGTTCTCTTAAGGTCTTCAACTGAATCATCTAATTTTGTTTGTAATCTGTCTTCATCATCACCGCTGGCCTTCAGTTCTGATAGTCTGGAGTGTATCTGGGAGATTGATGAGTCCATATCGTGAGAGATTGTATCAATTTTTGTCTTTGTTTCTGTTTCAAGAGTTGTTAAAGCGTTTTCTACTTCAAATGATGAAGTAATGAGTGATTCAAGGTTATGTTCTGCATCTTTACGCTCAACTTCTGCTTGCTGGTTCTGTGCAAGTATTGCGTCAAGTTCTGATTGAATATTGGAAAGATCTGAATCGGTTCTTGTGGAAAGAGTGCCCATTTTCTCAATGAATGTAGCGGAGCTCTCATTGATCTTCTGTGGGATATACTCATTTTGTAAGTATTGAACGTTATCAAGTGCCGATTTGATTGTTTTATCGAGAGTAGTAAAACTTGATCCAAAACCTTCAGCACCATCAAGGATGTTTTGAAGCTCTTTGATTTGTGCTTCAATGTTATCAACTTTTGGAGAAATTTCGCCAATACGTTTGTCAAATTTTGACTTTTGGAGGGCGAGAGCATTAGAAGTCTGATCAATATTGGAAGTGAGTTCTTCAACCGAATCATTGATTCTCTGAAATCCATTAGTAACGTTGGATAATAATTCATCAAGCTTTGTACGGGAAATTCTTAAATCATCTTGCATTGGACGTAGTTTTGATTCTAATTCAACCCTTAAGAACCTATCGAAAGTTAATCCAAGCTGATCATATTTCTGTTGAAGAGGCGATATATCATCAGAGATGAGATTTTGTACGCGATTGCGAAGCTGATCAAGTTGGTTTTGAGTAAATCCTTGTTGACGTTCAATGTTTTGTAATTGCGGGCGAATTTTTTGCTGGAGTAAAGTTAATTGAGAATCTAGCTGTCTCATTTTCATTTCTTGTTTCGAATGTGAGTTTTGAACTTCAGTTGTCAACTGGCTTCTAACTCTTTGGATTTCAGCTCCGTTACCCGAGCCCATTGATGATGTACTTTGAACTTTGGTAGCTAATTGTTGTAAAAAAGCAGCCGGACCATCGGCAAACGTTGGCTGAACTATTGTTGAGCGAGTGCGCGATGGAGAAAGTGGTGATTGTCTATTACTCATTTATCAAAATTTTTGTCAAAACGAATTTTTTCTCTTCTCAATTTTTCTTCGTTTCAGTAATTTTTGAATTTTAGCGACCAAAATTTTAATTATTTCAATTAAGGATGTCGCTTGGGGGACAATTGGGGACCCGAGGTCAGGTGAGTGGGGCTTCCAGGCGCGTTACGCCCTCTAGCCCATAAGAAATTTTGCCCAAGACACAAGAGGAGGACCGAACCCCAGCCGACCAGCCGGTGACAAAACCAAAACCGTTGTTATTTACATCATATTAATGTTGTCACTTTTTAAATGTCACTTTTTGTGTTACTTTTCACAAATTATATATGTTTTCATGTTTTGTCACTTTTCTGTTACTTTTCGGGTAAAAACATTTTTATTATTATATATAACTGAATTTTACAAAACCTCCGTTACCGTTCTTTGGAAATAAGAGTAGATGTAAAGATATTATATTGAGAGAACTTAAGAAACTACCGAATGGTCTAACATTTGTAGATTTGTTCGGTGGAAGTTTCTATATATTCCATTTGTGCCATACAATATTCCCAGACTCAAAGATTATATGCAATGACTTCGACAACTATATGGACCGTCTCAAACATATTCCAGACACAAACAATATATTGAAAGAGTTAAAAGAAAAGATACCTATAGGTAAGATGGAACGTATACCATTAGATAAGAAAAATATTGTGAGAGAGGTTTTGAAAAAAGCAGAATATATAGACTGGGATAGTATATCTGCTAGACTATTATATAGTGGTTCTATAAGAGTTCATGACATTGAAACACTTATGTCAAAAGTTTTATATCTTAACTATACAAATGTTTTCAAAGAGGACATAGAAAAATATATTGAGTGTATAGAGTTTGTGAGATGTCATTGGACAGAGTTGTATGAAAAATATAAAGACAAGGAAAATGTTTTCTTTATAGTGGACCCGCCGTTCTATAACACATGGGATTTTCAATACCAAGTAGACTGGACTTTGCGAGACTCTTTAGAAACTTTAGACGTTATACATAACCATCCATGCTTTTACTTTACATCCGATAAAAGTGGTTTGGAAACCGTTATGAGATGGTTAGAGGACATACATGACTATGAGTTTATATATGACAAGATAGAATATGAGAGAGGTCCTATAAACTGGAGAAAGTGTCACAATAAAGAAATTTTATTAGTAAGTAAATGTGGTTTGAAATAGGACTACTTGTTTTAGGTTTTTTCCATTGTGTCATTTATTTATTTGACGTGGTAGAAAAGTACAGAGAATATGAAGATGAACCAATGCCTGCAAATGTTCAGCATATGTACTCGTAAGAGATATTTTTATCTAATATTAAATGGACGCACAGAACTTAGCGAATGCACAGCAACCTGGACAACCAAACCCAGAGAATATTCCAAATGAAGTTAGAATACAAACTGCAATGGCAAACTATGGTCAAGTGCCAACAGATGTACAAATGCAAACTGCCATGTCAAATGACGCTGCGTTAGGTTTTCCACCATGGTATGCAAATATGAGATGGAAAGAGTTTTATACAAACCCTGAAGTGGGATATAAACAACTTTATGCAGATGACGCGAACACAGGAGTTGACCCAGAATATGTTTTCTACCAGAGGAGAAACAGAATGTATGAGCTCCAGTTAAAGAATGCTATGGAACTCAACAGGAAACGTAAGAGACTAGGCGGACATTAGATTTTTACATATAGTAAAATGGGTTTCTTCAGTAAGATAGGAAACTTCTTTCGAAATGTTGGAAGAGGTATATGGAATGGAATAAAATCTGTCGGAAGAGGAGTATGGAACGGTGTCAAAAATATTGGTAAAAGAGTAGGTCAGTTTGTTGGTATTATACCTAAAGACCCTGAACCAGAAGAACAAGCTCCTGTAATACAACAGCCTGAACCTGCACCACAGTCAAGTTGGCAACCACAACCGGTATATTAAAAAGTTATATTTTTATCGTTCGATAGTAGTCGTATATGAAACTAAGTTCTAAGTAAAACGCATGGTATAATGAAATTATTCTTTTTCTTCCATCTGTAGTAAACCATACTTGAAAGTCTGAAATACTTCCACTTGGTGGTTCGTATAACTTTGTAGGTTTTTCATAAAAGTCATTTGCCAAGCATAAGAAAGAGTTTTGGGCGCCAGAAAATGAAGCATGAACAATAATAGCATCTGGGTCGAAAACATCTTTAAATAAATATGGTTCATCTCTTGCATATCGACTGTAGATATTTGCTAAAGGAGGTTCAACTTTCTGATTTAACATTCTTTGCAAATAATACCATGACATTGCAGTGAATTCTGTATATATTTGTTCGTCTTTATTTGGATTGTCTTCGTAGATTTGAAATGACACTTGTGAATTTTGTTTGTCATATACAATTCTCACATAAAGTGTGCTATCGGTATTCGCATATTCATCAGCATATTTTGCATAACATGAATTTATTTTATCTTCTATATTTTTTAATGCAGCCTGTAGAGAAGATGAGAGGTCAACTTGTATTAGCTCAATTTCTTCCCACATTTTTCGTTGCCCTTCAGATGTATAATCTATATGAAACCTTACAATAAATGGAAAACTTTTATCTTCTACAGACACAAACTTTATTCTTCGAAAGCCAATAGCTTTTGTGACAGATGGGTCTCTTAACCATCTTAATGGGTAGTCAAAACGATAGCCTTCATGCTTTATAGTATCTAAGTCAAACTTTTGACCGACATTAGTAAAAAGTTCATCTAATGGTTTAGTTGTAGCAACTCTAGAATTTTCTTTTTCTATTGGAAGCATATTTTATCTATAATAAAAATGTCAAATGAAACAGCGTCTATGAGAGAAATACAACACAACCGACAACTCATTATGCAAGCTCTAAATAAGAACACAACAAACTTTTCAAACTATTCTAAGATATCTGAGTCATTGAAAGGGAGTGACTTAAAACTGACATTAAACCCAATGACAGACGAGTTTCTATTTCAAGACAACAAGAACCATACTGTCTGTGTAAATCCAACAAAAGGAACTTTAAACGAGAAACCTATAGATGAACTTCTTTTGAAAGCAGATATTGACAACAAAGCTGACAAAGAATATGTAGACGATGCAATAGCAAAAGAAGAAGAAAGAGCTAACAATGCTTATGCAATAAAAGAACATACTCATCCTGAACTAGCAGACAAAACATATGTTGACAATAAAATGTCAAGTGAAGTGACAAGAGCTGAAAACGAATATTCTAAAAAGACTCATATACATTATATTAACCAAATACCAAGTCTTAAGGAAACATTAGAGACAAAAGCAAATAAGACTCATACACATTCTATATCTGATATTACAAACTTACAAGAAACCTTAAACAGGAAAAGTGCCGTTGGACATACACATACCATTGCAAATATTACAAACTTACAAGAAACCTTAAACAGGAAAAGTGCCGTTGGACATACACATTCTATATCTGAAATAACAGACTTAAACGTTAGCCTTGAAAATAAAGCAGATAAAACATATGTCAATGAAATATACCAAAGTTTGATAGGAACAAAAAATATTGAAACTATTGTTGGTGACTTTTCTGTCAATGAAGAAAATAAATATTTTAGATGGCAGTTGGTACAGTCCTTAAAAAATGGTACACTGCATAAACTCATTCCGAAAAATAACAATGAAATGTATGTAAGCTATAAAAAGAATGATGGTACACAAGTTAAAGTTCCATTAGACAACAACTGCTACTTAAACTTATATGGAGACGAACAAAAGAAATATTTAAGAGTTTATGAAATGGCAGATATGACATTGCCTGACCCAGCTCCAGCACCACATTATTATGACTATGGAGATGACGACAGAACACCACATGTAGATGAACAAAAGCTAACATTATATTTAGATTATTATAGATATAAAAGATATAATGCAATAGAAAAAACGAGAATAGTATATTATTATACAGATGACAGAAATAAATATTATAGTCAAGATTTTACCTACCCTGAAAACATAAGATTATATTATAAAAAATATTCTGACACAAACCAGAAGAAACCAGAAATAGTTGCACTATATTTTAAGTTCAAAAGAGACAATCCTATAATATCTCATATGTTTGATTTACTGAACCCAGTAGGTTCTATTTATACATCTATGGATGCAAGAGGTCCTCAAGTAATGTTTGGTGTTGGTGCATGGGAACAAATAGTCGACAGGTTTTTGTATTGTGCAAACTCTTCAAAGGAAACAGGTGGAAGTAAAACGATTTCAGGTGAAAATTTACCTGCACACAGTCATTACATAGATTTAAGTACATCTCAAGCAGGTTGGCATAAGCATAGATATTGGGATTGGTCAGGAATGACAAAAGGTAAAGGATATGATGTTAAAGACGACGTTAAGTTTGCTATAAATTGTTACTGGAGTGACACTCAGGGAGAAGGAAACCATACACATTTCGTTTCAGGATATACACAAACAACAGGACAAAGTAAAGAATACATGCCACCTTACATGACAGTTTACGCATGGTATAGAATTGCTTAGTCGTCATTTTCAACTTCTTTAGCATATTCGTCAGGAGTTGTCTTATATTTGTTAGGAACTGTCTTTGAAAGTATACTAGTCATGTGATTTTATCCCAAGCATATGGGGATTCTAAATTTTTGTCCCTATCGTTATCCCAATTGAATTTTTTTTGGAATTTAAAAATTTTTTTTCTCCATGTAAACTTAAATTTTAATTTTTACCACTAAAATGCAATATTTCAACAAATTAATGAGTAATAATATTTTAATTTATAATAAATATTATAAATCTCCTCAATTTAATGTAATTATTGTATTAATTTTTGTTGAAAATATAAAATCTTCAAGTAAATGATGTGAATTTAATATTTTTAGAATGTTGTTTAATTGTACTATATTATGCATGTAAAATTTTGTTACAATACATTTTATATGGGATCCCCATTGCCCAATTGAGAGAAAATTGAGAGGTGGGATTGGGCTAGCCCAATTCAAAATATCCCAGGTGGAAATAAAAAAATTAACAATTCAACATAAAAAAGCATCTTAAATAATAATGATAAAAAGAAATTTTGTATGAATTTCAATCAAATTTGTTTTTATTCAACTTAAGAAATCACTTCATTAATGAAAGAAGTCGGGTTCACAACATATCCCGATCTTGAAACGAAACAACATGTTTTTTTGATGCCCTAAACGGGGGGTCGCCAGCAAAAAAAAAGATGTCAAAATTTATCCCAAAAATTTAAAAAAAATCGAAGAAAGTGCATCCCAGGGATTATAAAATTTAAGTTTTCACATCTCTAGTATACCACCTTGAACTTTGACAAGTTTGAAACGAGGTCTGACAATAGTAGTTTTATCTTCTGCTTGCAGTCTGTACATTTTGCCATGTTTGCCTAAAACTTCATAATATTCTCTTGTATACTTTCTTCTATTTTTACGAACACAAATGTGAGTACCTGTTGAGTTCCCATTGTTGTCATAGTCAATAGTATTTTCATATGGGTCGCGTTCAGGTATTTCTATTTTTACTTTGTCACCTTTCTGAAGTTTGAAGCCCGGCATTCTTTCTTGTTTGTCTCTTTTGACTAAATTATTAAATATATAGTCTTTCTCTAAGTCAGGGTTGTTTTTCATTTCTTCGGGGGAGTGGTTTCACAAACCTTTTTGTTTACGGTTATTGTAAATATTTAAAACTTGTCTCATCTTTGCCTGGGAGAAGTGTCTATATTTGTCGTCATATGACATTTCATTTGCTTCACCACCTTGTGGTTGGTTTAAGTCTCTTAACATTTTTATACAACCGTCAATGACACCAAGAGCAGAATGGTTTTGGTCGACAATGAAATATTGGTTTACATTTTTTGAATGCAGATAGTTTTTTACATCATCTGATTTGAAAGAACTTTCACAGTCAGATGTCAGTTTTGTTGGATGGTATTTGTCAACGAATATTGTCAAAGCAGTTTTCACATCTAAAATATTTTTGGACCATAATGGTATGGCTTCACAGTATCTTGTGTTTTGACCAACAAATATTAACCAGTATGGTGGTCCATCTGTTCTAACTCTCGGAATGTTTTCCAAGATATCCATAAACCAAGCATTTGGTGTTGAACTAAAGATTTTTATCATGAGTGCTTTCTTTGTCGCTTTAGAAACATAGGGGTCCTTGTTCGGATTCGTCATTTTTTACCCTATAAGAAATGGGTTTATTTGGCGCATTAGCAGGAGTCGCATCTAGATTTTTGCCCGCAGTGGGAACAATAGCCAGAGGTGCATTTGGAGTTGGAAGGAAGATTTTGAGTACATTAGGTATACTTAAAGAGAAAGCACAACCTATTATACAAAATGTACAGAAAGGTTGGGATGTAGCACGAGATGCAACAAATCGTATTCCAAATCCTGAAACAAGAGGAAAAGTTCAAGGATGGATGGACAATGTAGGAAGACAAGCAGGAAACTATTATAACAAAGCAAATGACTACTATAACCAAGCAGGACACTATATGGACCAAGGTGAAAGATTCTTTAACAGAGGATATAACCATGCACAACAGTGGGTAAACAATAACCAACCTCAACCGCCTCAAACCTGGGGAATGTAAAGTTTTTTATTGAGATGAAATGAACAATGCAGCATTGAGACAAATGAGTTCAAGATGGATTTGTCGGCTTCCAGCATTTAAACCGATACCATATAGTCAGGCTCAGCATGTGAAACTGAATGATATTATTAAAGGAACCATCCCACCTCCACAACAACAACCAGTTGAAAACAAACCAAACTAAAATTTTTTACTGAGATGAAATGACCGAAGAAGTTGAAACGGTAGATTTGACACCACAAACAAAAAGTTCAGAACCATTGTCAAAACCTGTCAAAGAACTTACAGATGAAGAGAAAAATTCAATAATAGAAAGTGCCAGGTCTGGAAATACAAACCCTAACTATAAAGTCACTTTTCATAGAAATGGAACGGCTAGTATCTCAAAAAAGAAACAGACTCTCACAAATAAAATATTGAAGTCTGAAGGAGCTTTCGAGACAACAGATGGAAAAGTTTACTTCACTGACCAACAGTTCATTATAGAACATCTCATTGACTTAGAGTCGAAATATTCTAAACTTTACAACAAACACAAAAAGTTGAAAGGAAAACAAAAACAAATGGCATATGATATTTATGAAGATGTTGACGACACAACTGTTCCTGCAAGTGAAGTAAAGTCAGAGGAACCGAAAAGTGACGAAAAACCGATAGAAGAAGAAAAATCAAAAACTGAAGATAAACAAAAACCAAAGTTTGTAATAAACAGAAATTCATCAAAAGTGACAGCTCTCAATTTTTTGACATTTGTAAATTCTAAATTGAATGAGAAAAATGAAATAATACTAAGCATAATACAATATTCTAGATTTAATTATAATTAGGAAAAAGTTAGTTTTGAGAGTACTTTTCATAGGCATATAGAATGAAATCTTCTGAAAAATAATATCACATAAACTCATATTATTTTCTAATATATAACTATTTTATATAAAAATCAAATTCAATGATCTTAAAAGCGAAGGATAAACCTCAAAATTTACGAATATAATGAGTGGGAATATAATGCTTATCTATCATAAAACCATATGAAATATCAATTTTTGCTTTACGCCTAATTTTTGACGACAATTAGCAAAAAATGTTAAATGTTAACACTCAGTCCATTTGAATATGAAAAATAAAATTGACTTTGATTAAATGTTTTTATTTATCATGCAATTCTTCTTGCGACCAAAGATTTGAATAAAATTTCAAAAAATAAGATAGCTTAAAAAATAATATACGGTAGTGTTTACTAATAGATGAATAGTATATAAATTCTATTAAAATGGATTTGATCCAAAAAATATAAAACCAAAAATAATTGTTATAATTTAAATGAAGAAGTAATTTAAAACGATTTAATTTATGATCAAATTTTATATATTTTTTGGATCAAATCCATTTTAATAGAATTTATATACTATTCATCTATTAGTAAACACTACCGTATATTATTTTTTAAGCTATCTTATTTTTTGAAATTTTATTCAAATCTTTGGTCGCAAGAAGAATTGCATGATAAATAAAAACATTTAATCAAAGTCAATTTTATTTTTCATATTCAAATGGACTGAGTGTTAACATTTAACATTTTTTGCTAATTGTCGTCAAAAATTAGGCGTAAAGCAAAAATTGATATTTCATATGGTTTTATGATAGATAAGCATTATATTCCCACTCATTATATTCGTAAATTTTGAGGTTTATCCTTCGCTTTTAAGATCATTGAATTTGATTTTTATATAAAATAGTTATATATTAGAAAATAATATGAGTTTATGTGATATTATTTTTCAGAAGATTTTGTGTTCTTCTTCAAAATTTTATTTTTTTATTAAAAAGAATCTTTACAAAATATACATTTACTTTAATTAATATTTAAAAACGTGCTCTATCAAAAGTTCCAAAAATTCAATATTTTAGCTTTTCTGAGGTGTCACTTTTGATGAATTTCTGTTTACAACAAGTTTAGTTTCCAAACTAAACCAAGTCAACCTTCATTAGCTGGTATGGGTTGGCGTCAAAGACTTATGGCAGCAGGTGGTTATGTAAAGTAAAGAAAAAATATTTTTTTATTTTTATAAAAATGCCCCCATATAGAATGGACAGAAAGTCTGCTAGAATAAAAGCAGAGTTACAAAGATATGGTTGGAGAGTTTCGAAGAAGTTTAAATATAGGAAAGGAAGACCCATAAAAGTCTATGACAAATTGTCTGGTCTTAGCTACGAAATGGATTTGGAAACAGCACGTGCCAATTATCCAAACAGACTGGAGAGGTTAGAAGAAGAACGTCTTATGGACATGCCTTTCGATGTTAGTGAACCTCAAGTTGAAGGACACGACGGCTTTGCCAGATTCTACTGGAAACATGACGAACAATTGCATCCTTTGAGAAGGAAAAAAGGAAAAGGTGAAGACGCACATGCTCCCATGGAAAGAACAAGATATGCATATGAAAAGTATCGTGAAGTTAGAAGTCAAATTACATCTGGTCGAACCTTTACAGTAAACTTTGACGAAGGAAAGAACAAAGAAGGCTTCATGGGTGTACTTGCTGCCATACAAGACGGAAATAAGAAAGGACACAATCTCAGATTGACCATAACAGATTTGGATGGTCACATTTACTATGCACATGGCAATGAACAAACAGCCGCAAAACTTCTTGACGCTTTCAAGACTACAAAGAGAGAACAAATGGTTGACTCCGACTCAGACATTTTGAATGCAATTGAAGGAATTGCAAGTGTCAAGTTCGAATGGTACCAACCTAACCCTCAAGCAGTCAAACAACATGCTGGATACTTCCCTTCATAAATAAGTCTGACATTGACTTGACAAGGTATGGAATTTACAATTCAATTGAAACAATTGTCAATGAACCTTGCATTCTTACATGTCTCAGGAACTCTGGTCTTGTTACAGATGAGAAGATGAAGTATCTTGAGTCATGTGTGAAGACAAGGTACATTCTCAGAGGTCAATTGGCAAAAATTGCACCGTTGGCAAATGTCAATATCCGAGTCAACATACCTACAGCTAAAGGTTCTTCACATGACGACTATGTTGTTGACAAAGACTTACCATGGTTGAAGATTGTAATTGTCCACAACCACTTCATGTTGAACGAAAGTCTTACAAACCCATTCTTTGGTAAAAGTAAGTGCAACATTGTCAGAGCTGTAAACATTCTTTTCGAGAAAGGTTTGTTGGAACCAATTCCAGATGACAAGCTGACAGAAACTTTTGTACCAAAAGACGAAACAAACTTTTCATTGTTAGCAAGACCAAAAGTTGTTCCAGACAAAGTTCTAGTACAAAAGAAGTACACAGTTCCACAAGGGGTTGGTATGTTCGGATACCAACCTGAACCAGAAGAACTTCCAATGAGGTTGCAAGAACTTCAAGATGCTATAAACAAACTTCCATTGAGACATCCAATTGACGTCAAATTGTATTGGAGAGCATCTGAGTTAGGTCAGAAGGTTTTATATGAAACAGGTTGCTTCGACGATGTTTATGAGATAACAGGAGAAGTTTCTCAGAAGATAAGAGACTCACTTGAATTTCCACAAACTGGACCAATTGGTTGCGACAAGTTCGACTCAGATGAAAAGATATACTATGTCGACCTTAACGCTGCATACATGAGGTTTGTCCAATATATTCCGACTGGAATTCCAAACGAAGATGGTGAGTTCCCGGGAAGGAACTATACAGTTGGAAAAGTCATACAACAACTGTATGATATTAGGAAAGCTTCAAACCCCAAACTTGCAATGACACTCAAATTGCTTATGAATTCGACATGGGGATATTCCATTAAGAAACCTCAAGAGATGAAGAGTAAACATTATGAGAAGGTCGACAACTTTGTTGAAAGGTTTTCTCCTTTTGTTTTGAAGTACGAATTCACTCAAGGTCAAAGTGGCTTAGTAACCACATTAAAACCTATTGTCGAACATTGGTCTTACCCTCAGTTCGCAAAGGCAGTCCTTGACAACTACAACAAATTCTTCTCCGAAGTCAAATCGAAAGTCAAGGTTTACTATGAGAACATTGACGCACTCATGACGAACGAAGAAGGCTATAACAAACTCATTGAAATGGGAATGGTCGGTGAAAAGATGGGTCAATTCAAATTGGACAAAATTTTCACCGAAGTTCATGTCCTCTCCAAGCGTAAGTACTGGGGTGTTAAAGAAGATGGTGAAATAGTTAAACATTGCATGAAATAAAAAATTTATTTTTTAAAAAGTGACATTTTTTTAATGGCGTACATCCCTGAGCGCTTCGTCCAGTTCAACCAAATGTTGGTCTCGGACCCAGGCAAGAGATATTCCAAGCCCGAGCTCGACCGTCTCTTCAAAGAATGGATTGAAGACTACAGAGGAGACGAGTGGTTGACAATTGAATTTGCTCGGGCTTGGAATTGCTACAGAAGGGTCTTAGACGTGGACCCAAGACTCACGTACAGAGGTTGGGATGTGGTCTTCACATTCCAAAATTGGTACGAATACCAAAAATAAAAACTTAAATTTACTTGGGGTTTCCCCCTAAAATAAATTTTTTTTACTCTTAGAACCACTCGAGGTTCTCCTTACGGTTGTTGAGCTTGTCACCGTCAATGTGTCTGACCTTCGTCTTCTTGTCTGGATTTGGAACCCATTGAATTGCGACAAGCTTGCCCATGGAGATTGAACCGCGATTCCGAAGGTTAAGGTTCAAGTGTCCCAAGTTGTTGAGGACTGGGGTAAGAACCTTGCCTGTCTCCTTGTTGCGGATTTGGTATGGGTAGGGTTGGGAAATTTCGTAACCGTCATCGGCAACAAGGGTTGCCCATGTAGCGGCTTCAGGAACTTCTTCTTCTTCCTCTTCTTCGTGTTTCTTTTCTTCCTCTTCTTCCTCGACAATTCCTTCTTCAATTTGGTACTCACGAAGTACGGTGTTGCATGTTCTGTCCTTTCCGAGTACCTTCCAGATGGCGTCTATCTCTTCGAAGAAACGGTAGATGAGTCTGGCAAGGTCTCGGTTCTCTCTCTCGTAATTGCGCAAGGTTTCCGCGAAATCGTTCAGGCATTTCTCATTGGAAGCTTGGTTCATGAGGACATCGGCTTTGAGATTGGTCATCTCTGTCATAAGACTACTTTGGAGAGTCTTAATGGTGTTTGTCAGATGAGCTTTCAATTCAATTTGAATTTGAATTGGGCGCTTGTCTGGCAACCTTGAAAGGACATCTCCATTGAGTTTGGCTTCGGTGCTTGTTCGGACATCGAAAAAATGAAGTGGTTTGAGAATGACGGTTTTACTTCAAAAAGCTGGTTATGACAGTTAAGTCATACAACAAGTTTAAAATAATATCTTGCTCTTCTTCTGAACGTTTGTTGTCTCTTCCGATAAAAGTTTCGAACATGAGAACCAAAAAACGTTTTTTGAGGAACCGAAAGAGTTCAGGCAAATTTTCATATTCTGGATATGTTGGGAGCAGTTCAAAACATCTGAGCTGACTTTCGGACAAAATTGGGACAATGTCAGAAAATTCATCTTTGGTCGGACTGCTTGAAGGTAAGTCCCTTACATGTAAGTAGCTCTGGTAAAGTCTTCTCATTTCTGCTAACTTTTGGAGTATAGCTTCGTAGTTTAGAAGTTTCAATTTTAATTGTCTTATTCCACTCTTTACTTCTAAACGGTAAGTATCCATGAGGTCAAGAGTAGCTTTGGTAGCTTTAAGTGGAGCTATCTCTTCTTGACTTGTGCAATTTTGGTTGCAATTGTGGTTTGAGCTCCTTCAAGTTCGCCGTCTATGTCGTTCTCAACGCCTTCAACCATGGCTTGAAACTCTTCATCGGTCCATTGAGATTGGTGTGGGACGAATTTAACTTGCTTCATTCAAAAAATGAAAAAAATGCTTTTACTCAAAACGTGCCATGTATATGGCTATAAGTGCTTATAGACTTCTTCTTCACATGAGTCTTGGCAACTTGAGAGTTCTTGTTGGAGTTGGGTCTGGAATTTCAATTCTCTCTCGAGCGCGCATTCCCCACTGTCCTTCTTGCCACCATAAACTGTGTATTGACCGAACTTGCATTTACAGGAAGACCGGTCAATACAAGGTTCACAGTTGAAATAGTTGTACTCATACCTGGTGAGTACGAGTGTGAGTAAAAACATAAAAAAAGTGAGTTAAAATGAGATGTTTACTGAACTGGCTGAATGTCGCCTTCACAGGTTATGTAGAACGGCTGACCAGAGAAGTGAAGGAGAGACTGAATTGCCAATTTCATATGGGGTAGGGGGTTCTCCTTGTTTGGTATTTTTATCCAAGGACGTTTGTTTAGGAACTTAACAAGAGCTTCTCTTTTGGCGTCCTTTATGCCATCGTAGGCTGTCCCGTCTGGTATTTGAATTGGAATTCCAGTCGAAGTCTCGAGCTGAAGTGTAGACCTTCCAGAAATAGTGATGAACTTGACCTTGGGCTTCATTACCTTGCGCAAGTAGTCTTTTACGCAGTCGTTAATTTCAATGAGGTAAATTGCCTCGTCAAGTCTTTCTTGCATTCCAAGTTCTTCCATCCGACAGGAAAATATTTTCCCGACAAAGGGAAAAATTTTTCCTTCCGACAGGAAGAACTCTTCCAGTTGTCCGTCCGTAAACCATTCAAATTTTCGAAAATTGAGAACTTTTTGGTCGAACTTCAGAAAAAGTTTTTCCTTCCGACAGAAAAAGTTTTTCCTTCCGACAGAAAAGTTCTTCCATCCGACAGGAAAAATTTTTCCTTCCGACAGGACACAAACGGATGACTGACGTTCCTCTTCCTGAATGCCTTCCAAAGCCAGAAGAACCGAAAGCTGCAGAACCACAACAGTCTCCTCAGCAACCTCAGTTCCAGCAAGTACCTCCGAATTACTACCAATTTCCACCTCAAGGTTACTACCCACCACAAGGCTTCCCGAACTACCCTCCTCAGCCTATGCCTTACTTCCCCAACCCTTGGTTGTTCCAGCAAGCTCCACCCCAGCAATTCCAATTCCAATCTCAATCGAAGAGAGACCAAGACTTCGAAGAAGGTCTGAACCGCTTACGCAAAGAGTATGCTACAGCTCCAATGGAAGACGACAGGCTTTCAGTCTCTTCCCTCAAATCGACCGATTCGACTCGTACCACAGATTCGGTTCGTGACCGTGAAGACTACCTCAAGCAGTCTGAGAGACTCTTCATCCTACAACCATTTACAGTTGGAGCTCTCAAGAACATGCGCAATTACGAAGGTCAGACACCAGCTGGAGACCGCAAAACAGACGTACTCGCAAGAGCCGTCCAGCTCGTCAAAACAAAGACGGAGATAGTCGACTTCATACTTGCAGCTTGCCCTTACAAGTAAAAAAATAAACAATTACGAATTAAACTTTTTACTCTTTCTTTTCTGAGTTGTTTAGAGCTGGTTTCTCTTGTAGAAACCTTTCGTACTCTTCCATGGTCATGTAATTGCGAATTTGGTACGCAATTCCAGGTTCGTTGTTTTTGAACCTGATGTATGTAACGCTTCCATCCTCCTCAGGGAAGTAAGCTGCTAACATCTGACCAAGTTTTCTCGGTGACTCGGAGCTCATAAAAATGTCACTTTTTAAACGTTAAGTTTTTAGTCTTAATTTACCCTTTGTTTGTCAAGGTAGTATTGGAGTGCAATTTCTCCAAATTCTCTGTGTCGGAGTTCTTCAGCATTTTCCAAGGTGTACCTGGAGAACTCAAAGAAGTTGTCAAGAACATACTGCCATGCTGCTCTTCTGAGTTCGTCGGTATTTTGGAAGTGTTGCACCTTCGAGTCTTCGGACATGAAAAAAATGACACTTTTTCTATTAAACCGTTTTGGCATTTCTCATGAGTGAGTATAGTTCTGCCGAACCATTGGAAGAGAAGAAGTACCTTGCTGGCAAAAGACAAAAATAGTTGCCTTAGTTGTCATTGCAATTGTACTCGTAATTGAATTCATTGTACTTCTCTTCACGTACATAAAACTCAGCGGTATTTGCTTTAAGAAGCTACCATCTTACTAAGACTAAACACTTAGATTTTTCAAGCTTGACTTTTTACAATTTGAACTTTGTTTGCGTAGATATGAATTCTGAAAGAAGTATGAGGGTCTTGTATGACTTTGTACTTCTCCCATAGTTCATGTCTGTCAAACTTACCTGCCATGGACTCTTTCATAAGTTCCATGAAATCGTCTTCGGACAATCCGGGGAAAAGTATTATGTCAGTAAGTATTCTTTTAACATCCTTACTTAAACTCTTTGCTGTCTGTACACAAATGACAACTGAGATGTTAAAGTGTCTGAGCTTCTTAAGAATTCGACACATATCTTGTTCTCTGTTCTTTAACAAAGGATGAGAGGCGAAATCATCTAAGATAAGAAGACATCTATGAGGGTAAGTCTTCCAATCGTAAGATTGCAATTTCTTCGAAATGTATTCTATCTCTTTCTGTTTGTTTCTGAAGTGTTTCTTCTCTAATATTCTCTGCATTTCCTCATTTGGGTCTTTAAACTTAGAATTTATATACTCATTTATAGCATTATACTTCAAAACTCTTCTTTGGTACTTCTTTATCCAATCTAACAACTCAGTATCCTTTATACATACTAACTTAGACTTCTTTATAATATCTTTGAACGAATTGACGGTTTGGTCAAATTGACCAGAAGTCGAACAAATAACAACTAACTCATAGAATGGGTTCTTCTCATCTAGTTCTTGTTGTTGTGCAGCCATTTTAAGATAAGTGAAAGTCTTACCCGACCCAGGTGGTGCAATTAGACCTGTTATACCATTCTGAGCAAATAAGAACTTGTCATGTATAGGCTTTATCTGAGCATTTTCTAACTTCCTCTTGTTCTTGTTTAAAACATTCTCAAATTTCTTGTCAATGTCAGCAAACTTTTTTTCTAACATATTTTTAGAAAAATTAAAATTTTTATCTTTTAGAAAATGTCTAGCGATTTCGCTATCTATATTCGAGACAAACTTTTTGACAGCAAAACATCTGTCGACCATAAAATCTTACATAGTGTAAACAAGAAAGGTGAATTTGTTCTAAAGTTCTGTTTCTGGGAATATGACAAGAACCATAAAACATTACAAAGAGCAGTCTTAAAATTTGTCAATGACAGACTTGTTGACAGAGATGACGCCGATTGGAAAGATGAAGTCCAACAAAAGTTCTTAGAATGCAAAGAAGACA